ATAATAGTAGATATTCATCTAAATAAATGTTGATATTCTTTTTAGTGCTATTCCATGGGCCGTCAGCCAGGTTTGATGTTAGTATTGGGCCTGAGATTGCGAGTACAAATTGTCAGGTGTTATTTCTCTATATTTAAGACTGCTTTAATAACTAAAACAATATTTGTCAGAACAAACTGACCTAGCGTATCTGTCAATTATCAGTACAAGAGATAGTGTCTGATATCATTTGATATTTCAGTTGAAAGATACTTTTCAAGAAATAAAAAAATTTCAGAGCACATCAATACTGAATACAACACTTGTTGTTTTTCACATTAAAATTTTGATTTTTTTATGTTGTTTTGGAAGGTCTACTAAAAGTAATTTTTAGGGTAATGCATCATGTAAATGATTGTCATTTTACTCCTGTTTTCTTAACATAACAAATTCAGGAACAGATAACATGATACTTACGAAGGAACAGTGTTATGATATATAGTAAGGCAAATAAGTGTGGTACAGTTACACAACATGGATACAGGTGTGACGATATATATGCACAGGTGTGCTATAAATACACAGGTGTGGTAAACTTATATAGGTAGGGGTTTGCTATATATAGGTACAGGTGTGATGATACATAGGCATAGATAATCTGTCTAAGGTGTTATATATATATGTACAGATGTGCTATATATAGGTACATATATTCTAATGTATATATGTACAAATGTGCTATATATAGGTACATACATTCTAATATATATGTGTACAGATGTGCTATATATAGGTACATATATTCTAATATATAAATGTACAAATGTGCTATATATAGGTACATATATTCTAATATAGATATGTACAAATGTGCTATATATAGGTACATATATTCTAATATATATATGTACAAGTGTGTTATATCTATATATGTACAGGTGAGTTACACTAAACATGATGGTTACATCCTATTATAAACAGCTTTGACTGAATTTAGAACTATCTTCCTTTGTATTAATATACCTAATGAATATAGCTTTGTATTGTAATGGAAACAAAACAGCAATATAAACTGGAAACCCTAAATGCTTCTGACAAGTACCCAAGCCTACCAATGTAACCCCTATCAGTGCTCCTTGTAAAGTTTTAATTTTGCCCCCCAGACAGGGCTGGTGGTATTTCATTCATAACCCAGATGGCCTAATTAGGAGAACCTGCTGGAGTGGGGGGAGGGGCTATGACGCTGTGGGAGCTGCTGAGGTTATAAGGTTACTTCACCAACAGGTGCTTGGCCGAGGTACAGATCCTAATATACTGCTAACACAATCAGGATCAATTAAAATCTTGTCTGTATAATTACTGTTACATCTAAACGACCAGCTAATTCATTACTGTTTTCACTTTTAATGTCTGTATTATACACAGTAAAATTTCAGCATCTGTTGTGTGCATTAAACCAATAGTTACCCAGATCTTTATGTTGAATCACAGTGCCGACAAACTACATTTCATGAACGGCAATCTGTACATTTCGTGAACAGCAATCTATGTCATGCCTAATGCTTTATACATGATATAATAGTGTTACCACAAGGTAACGATATCATTTTTGAATGTGCTGATCACTGGTACTTAATTTCAATACCAACGTACTGGTGCTTTAGACCGTTTAAATGACCAGGTTGATTTAGACGGAATATAACCTGAAATTATAACTATGTACTCCAATACATATATTTATATATATATATATATATTACATTATGAAATCACATGCCCTTTTATATTTATATATCAAATGATACTCCAACGAAACAAAATATATGTACTCCAGTAATATGACATTTATTCATCAATAACCCCATGCTTGGTGATAAGCCCACCTACATCTATAACTGTCCTGTATTACAAACAGATACTCCTTCATCTTTTTGTCCTGTAAATAAATGTGCTGACTTTGGTAAGAAGTGTTATGTACTGTCTCCCTAAGCATATTGAACTTAAATATGGTAAAGTTATCCTCCAGTAGAGACAGCTGTACTGCCATTTGTATGATGTTAGTCCAATATATATGATAATAATCCCAATAAATATATATAGAAGTATTCCATAGCACTTCTAGTGCCCACAACCTTGTCCTATCACACATCAAAATTCTTCTTCATTAAAACTATAATCTCGATTACCATGATTTCAAACCCTTTAAACAAAAATGTTTAAAACTACTTGTGAAAATTGACTTTTTTTGAACACCCCTGATGCATTCAATTTAAACAGATTTTAAATTATATGCGATTTATCACTATATTCTGGTGTATCTCCTTCACATCTGACTATAAAGGAATGATTTGAAGCCTGATAAGATGAAAGCCATCAAAAGTTAGTGGGTGTAAACTCTACAAAGAAAACACATGACTGATAATTGTGCGAATCTCCTGTATTGTTTGTTTGTATGTAACACCCACACATACACCACAACACAAATAACTCAATCCAAGGAAATTTCCTTGAAAATTGGAATCTTTCTTCTTTTAAAGAAGTTCACTATAAAGGGAGGGCGGGCAAGTATTATGGGATGTTGGCATTTTGACGCGGCAGTGTGTCTCTCCACTGTAGACGATCACTGTGCCCATATGTACAGATGACGCAGCAGTTGCTCAAACTCATGCCAACTAGGTCATTTATATCATTATGAATCGCGTATCATAACACACGCTATACTTCTGTAAATTCTAATAACTCATATCCTACGAAAACCAATCATACCGTCACAAAGACAAATTACGTAATTCGTGGAAAATTTAGTTTATTTTCAGCCTTAAGTATTTATTTATAAAGCCAGATGCAGCATTCTGGTCTGTTGAAGAAGTGTTCTGTGACTTGCTATTAAGTAAATTTCCAAAATACACCCTCCTCCTCCCGTTCTTTACTAAACGTCTTACTCTGTCATCTGCTCGCAATGCAGAACATTCCTGCATCACATGTTGCAGATCTTAGCCAACCATGTCACAGCTTTTTAGACAAAAGGAAAGGAAATTTTCCACAACCGTTTTTATCAAATCATCCAAAAACTTGTGCAAAGTTGTGAACTACCTGTGTATCGAGTCCCTATAGGTTATTATACTTTTCACTAACGAGGAAAACCCAACGCGAAGGCACAGGTGTTTACAGGAGAAACACCTGAGTCAGTGCATGAGAACATATAGCCTTTAAACATTTATAAGATGCATTTTTTATTCCGTTCAGTTCCAATAAAAAACTAATTTCTCCGGTTTATAATAGGGGTGTAACACCATTTTCAATATTACTTATCAAATTTGTGAAGCAAAAAATAAAAGATGAAACAGGAGATTTTTATCAATAATAATACTTGTTACATCAAACTGGGACAAAAAATGTCGGTTTCTGTATCATAAAGAATTCTGGTAAAACCCAATTTCACTTACCTTAATAGAACCAAAAAAGTTGTCTTGGAAATATCTCTTTGCTGATTTCATTTAAAAAATTTAGTTAATTTGCATCGAAATTGATAAATGTTTTAGACTTATAATGAAGTCACCATTTTTGAAATTTAAATTAGATATTCAATTGAAAAACTGGAGCACAAAGGAGATCACCTTAAATGACAATTGTGTACTCTGCTCTACCATATATCATTATCAAACGGACTATCATAGTTATTTAAATATTTTCTGATTTTTTTCCAATTAAAAGTCATTAAATGATATCCCTGTACAACATATCTTCATCAGTTTGAGCTATTATTCTCTTGATTGTAAGTTGGTTACATATAATTTCAGTGGTGATAAAAGTGTTTAAGTGTGTATGATAACTATATTTATGTGTTTTTTAATCTTTTTTTTTTTTAGTCTTTGAAAATCGATCAAAGGCAATAGTTTCAAAAATCAATAGAAATTACAGCAACATTATGATCAAAGCACAATGTTTAGTGAAAAACATTAAAATGAATTTTTTTTAGCATTACACTGATTATATCCCTAGAAATTTATGCAAAATTATTTTTCTTACAGTTTTTAACTTCAGAAAAAACATAGGAAAACAATTTCAGTGACCTATGATTTGACCAGGACCTCAATTCTAAGGCAAAGTTCAAGAAAAATTTCCATCCAATTATCCAAATAACCATTGTACATGGCTGTACACAACAGGTTACAGTCCAATAGTAATAAATACACTAGCATGTTACTGTACGTGTTTCAAGTTTATTTTTATGGTACGCCCACATCTTTTGCTGTTTTTGAAGGACTGGAAGTAGTGCAACCTCTCATATGATACTTGGAAAGGTTTGAAATAGATTATATACACATTATTGAGTTAACATTTACACACATGATAGAATTTTGATAACACATATGTAGTTTAAAACCGTGGAAAACTTAAGTTTTTATCTGTTATATAAACTTCAATGTATCCTACTCTATGTCAAATGTTTTTTTAATGATGTCAATTGTTAATAAATGACTTTTTGAAACGATGTTAATCATAAATTATTTACCTTGGTAACTTTTTAAATGACATGAATTGCTCACTAATGACTTTTTTTAATGATGTAAGTCGTTAATTACTAAAGTCATTAATTAATGACCTATATTTTAATGACTTATGTTCTATATCAAAGCTTCTTTAATATCATGTGATCTTTAATGCTGTATAGTTTTGTTTCCTGACATATATTGGTTGATATATTTGTAGTTTCACTTCTAATTTACATAATATCACAAGTGACCACCAATCTAAACCATATTCTGATCACAACCCATCAGTCATACCATACAGGATGATGGAAAACCATAAGAATATTTGGTATTTTTCCCTCACATTGCTTCCCAACAGGCTGCTTTATACTCTTAGGAATCTAGAACAAGTCAGCTAAATACGTGTGAAGATACCTAGGGTCAAATTTAGGTACCAGCAGTACTCTACCCCTGAAAATGTGAGAAAACAAATATTACGACCATAAAAGACAAAATCTGTGGTGGTAATTGTGCTGCTCAACTTACCTCCATTTACGGACGATTTGGCTACGGATGAGTACCCGGGGACAAACTGTTCTCTCTCTTGGTCTGAGTGACTAGCTGTGGAGATGAACAAACCAGTCATCACAAATTTTCTTTTCTTTTAATTTTTTAAGTACTTAAAAGAAATGCACAATTTTACATAAAGTTAATTAACATTGTTAACAAAAAAAAAGAAAATAAAAATGAGACAGAAAAGAAAATTATAAGAAAATAAATGAAACAAAATTTAATTCCCAAGTCTTCAGCTAATATTTTAAGCATGGTTTGTATCATGGACTAATTTCCTAAGATCCTATTGTTAACATCTATTTAGTGAGTCTGTACAAAAAAGTCTATAGTTCCAGATAATGAAAAGTCTAAAAATTATTTGTATTACAGAGTTCTAACAATAATATTGATTTTTTATTATACATATAAAAAAATGGCAACGACCGAACAAATCTGATATTACTTGTGTTAAATGATTTTTACATAAATATCCATATAGATCATTCCTTATCCTACTTAATCTGTTAACATCAATTCATTAGAAACACTTGTTCAATACAAATACTTTTTTGACCTACATGTTCACATGAAATAATAAAGATATTAACCGTTACAAGGTTCACTGGCCGCCTTTGATGTTAATCAAATTGATTCTCTCACTTGACCATTTGTTGAGTTTATACTTGTTCTGTTTGAACCTGACTAATAGAGTTGTGATCTATTTGTTGGTGGTCGTCACATTTGCACAACAATTGTACATGTTCCCTCGGCAACCAACCATCAATTCTGTGAAACGAGGCATGCTGAACCTAGAGCATCAGTTAGACATTGTCATTAGCTTTCTTTCAGCCTCGTGGCATTGACAGAGAAAATGGAAAGAGGCAGTTCTATAATGAAAAAGGGGTGGACGTGCCATGACCATAAGGCAGACAATGTGGTTCTGAGAAAGTAATGTACAGAACGAAAAATTATCAAGTTAATTGATTAAGTTAAAAATGTTCCTGACCATTAACCATTTTCAAAATGAATGTTTGAGATTAATAGTTAATTTGAGAGCTGCTTTTCAGTATTTGGCATTTATATCACCATTTGTTATCAGTATTTGGGCAACATTAATCATGTAAGTTGTAATGGATTTATCAGGGTAGGAGCTGAAGTCTGAAATCAAATCCCCCTTTCTAGATTTTTTTTTTTAAATTCTCTATTCAGTTACAAAATTACAAAATGACATTTGATTGTTGCATGAAAAGTACTCATTTTACAATATTATTAAATTTCTGATTTCAGGAATTTTTTTTCCAATCAAATATATGGGCGCAGTAAGGATGGAAATGATCTAGCTAAAGCAGGATTAGGGTCAAAATTTAGCCTCATCAATATCATCAGCTTAAAATTTGTAATAAAAATTAATTAAAATTGAATTAAAAGGAGAAGACTACTTTCATTTGATGTAAAATTGGGCACAAATCTTCGTCTTCACCCTTACTGATAAATCACAAGATTTTTTTATATTTATCATTTTCTATTTGAAATTAACCAATGAAAGTCTTGCTACATTTAGTCATAACTTTTGCTCACAGCATAGTCACCACTATAGCTTATATTTTCTTATATACTCTTATATCTATAACCTTTAAAACCAGAATTTGTCATTAGAAAGGAATCCAGTGTTGATACCAGAATCTAGAAAGTTTGGGATTGTGACTGAACAATTGATACTTTAAGTTCTGTATTCAAGACAGAAGACCATTCTTATGTAAAATAATTAATTCATATAAAATAATTAATTCATATGGCATGCACTTTTTGTATCTATGTAACAGAAAGAAAAACTAAAAGAAAACCAATAATGATAATTATTCTAAATGTATATGAATAATATGGATAAACAACCACTCAAAATATTTTTGCATATAAACCTGAATTTAACCACCTAATACATGATTATTCGAAAGATAATTGTTCCTATAGTACATATCTAAGGTAGAGTGAAGTTTTAAAAAAGAAGGGTGGGGTGATCTTTTAACAATAGAAGTCTCAGAAAGATATTTTAAATGTCATAAAAAAATTGAAAACTTTAAACTGCAAAAGATAATATCAATTTTTTTATATCTTAAAAGTGATTATTAATCAATTTTGTGTTCTGTTAGATAAACCTCTTACACTTATTGATTAAAGTTGAGGTCAACCAATGATTTGTGGTGAATGTATTCCAAGCAATATTTACACAAGATTTATCAGCTCTATATACCTAAAAGATTGAAATGAAAAGAAGAGAATCTTTTTTTCCTTTATCTAGTTCTATGACCGTTAGATCTAGCGTGGCAGGGCACAGTACCCTATCTTTTATAATGATGCGACAATGTAACTGCAGGTCAAACCAGTTGCTAAGGGAAAGTGATGACCTCTATACTGGACCGCAGTCTCCGAGAATTAACCTCCTGCGAGTTGTCCTAATGAAGACTAAATGACTAGCCGAGCAGGTTTATTGTGAGGTATGATGCTCTCCCACTGTCACTGAAAACACTTCCACTGCCCTATTAAGCATGCTTGGACTCCCAGCAATTTTTTCACTATAGACAATCTTTAATTTCAATTAGGGACTTTTCTCTCTCTTTTTTTTCAAATAGATTTAACACCAGGAAAATTTCCATTTATCTCTGTAAAGTACTATTCCTGTATTTGTAAATTAAGAAAAATCTTGTTAAATTCTGCAATACTGATGTAAACCTTCCCGATGTCAATACTATGATGTTCATCCTCCATTTAATATCCATTATTCTTTACTATATCGATGCATTGTTGAAATTTAACTCCAGAGGCAAAGCATAAAAAACTTACACTCATTAACCCTCAGAAAACTCTTCATTTCTATCCTTACAGACCTTGAGGTAATACAGGTTTAACATTTCATCATAGACGGTGTCGTTTTACAGATTACGCATGCATCCCAATATAACCTATCACCTAAAAGAAATAAAACACTGAAACTAAATAACTTTCAGTTTTTTAGCTTTCAATGACTTGAGCTGGAGGTAATATGTAGGCGCCTGGGCTTATTACGAAACAAATATAGTAGCTCTTTAGTAGTTTGATCTCCTTTACATAAAAAAGTATTGTTGTTCAGCAAATCTATTAGTTATTCTAATACATAGTCTTCAAAATGGCTTTCATAGCTGATGGGGCACACAACAACTGACATCATATGAAAACATTAATTGATGACAGAGCCACACAACCACTAAAGTCATATGACAATTTTTTTTGAGACAATGTTATTTTCCATATGACAGAGCCACGCAACCACTAAAGTCATATGACAGAATTTATTTATTAGACAACATTATTTACTGATGACAGAGCCACACAACTACTGAAGACATATGACAACATTATGTATTGAAGACTGAGCTACACAACCACTAATGTCATATGACAACATTATGTATTGAAGACTGAGCCACACAACCACTAATGTCATATGACAACATTATGTATTGAAGACTGAGCCATATAACCAGTTATGACACATGACAACATTATTTACTGATGACAGAGCCACACAATCACTACAGTCAAATGACAACATCATTTACTGATGACAGAGCCACATAACCACTACAGTCAAATGACAACATGTTTTACTGATGGTAGAGCAACACAATTACTAATGACATATAACAACACCATATCAAAAGCCATTATTCATTGATGAGAAAGCCACACAACCACTTAACGTCATATGGCAACATTATTTGTCTACTAACGGAGCCACACAACCACTAATGTCATGTGACAACATTATGAACTGATAACAGAGCCACATGACCACTTAAGTCATGTGACAACATTATTTGTTAAATGACGGTGCCACACAACAACTAATGTCATATGACAACATCATTAAATGACAACAGAGCCACAAGACCTCTTATGTCATGTGACACCATTATTTGTTTAATGATGTTGCCACACAACCACTAATGTCATATGACAACATTATTAACTGATAACAGAGCCACAAGACTACTTATGTCATGTGACAACATTATATGTTGATGACGAGGCCACACAACTACTAATGTCATATGACAACATTATTAACTGACAACAGAGCCACATGACCACTTAAGTCATGTGACAACATTATATGTTGATGACGAGGCCACACAACTACTAATGTCATATGACAACATCATTAAATGACAACAGAGCCACAAGACCTCTTATGTCATGTGACAACATTATTTGTTTAATGATGGTGCCACACAACCACTAATGTCATATGACAACATTATTAACTGATAACAGAGCCACAAGACTACTTATGTCATGTGACAATATTATATGTTGATGATGAGGCCACACAACTACTAATGTCATATGACAACATTATTAACTGACAACAGAGCCACAAGACTACTTATGTCATGTGACAACATTATATGTTGATGACGAGGCCACACAACTACAAATGTCATATGACAACATTATTAACTGACAACAGAGCCACAAGACTACTTATGTCATGTGACAACATTATATGTTGATGACGAGGCCACATTATATGTTGATGACGAGGCCACACAACTACAAATGTCATATGACAACATTATTAACTGACAACAGAGCCACAAGACTACTTATGTCATGTGACAATATTATATGTTGATGATGAGGCCACACAACTACTAATGTCATATGACAACATTATTAACTGACAACAGAGCCACAAGACTACTTATGTCATGTGACAACATTATATGTTGATGACGAGGCCACACAACTACAAATGTCATATGACAACATTATTAACTGACAACAGAGCCACAAGACTACTTATGTCATGTGACAACATTATATGTTGATGACGAGGCCACATTATATGTTGATGACGAGGCCACACAACTACAAATGTCATATGACAACATTATTTACTGACAACAGAGCCACAAGACTACTTATGTCATGTGACAACATTATATGTTGATGACGAGGCCACACAACTACTAATGTCATATGACAACATTATTAACTGACAACAGAGCCACAAGACTACTTATGTCATGTGACAACATTATATGTTGATGACGAGGCCACACAACTACTAATGTCATATGACAACATTATTAACTGACAACAGAGCCACAAGACTACTTATGTCATGTGACAACATTATATGTTGATGACGAGGCCACACAACTACTAATGTCATATGACAACATTATTAACTGACAACAGAGCCACAAGACTAGTTATGTCATGTGACAACATTATATGTTGATGACGAGGCCACACAACTACTAATGTCATACAATAATAGACCATTCACCGGTCATTGTTAGTCATGAACCTTTCCATTTCACAAGTAAACTGAAATTTCACCATTTTGATTGTGACCATTATTTAAGGTTTCTTTACTGAACAAGTTAATACTGCAGTATCAACTAAAATTGAACTCATTGATAAAGATTTCTATTTAGTGTCCTACAGACTTAGTGGAGGAGACATAACAGAGAAGGTAGACAGTACCTACTTATGTAAACAACATATCTTTATTTGTGTCATTTGATAAAAACCAGCATACATTCTCTTAAAAATAAAAAGACAAACAAATAAAATCAACTTTTATTTTCCAAAAAAACTGAAAAATAATGCACTTTGCAATGACCACGTAATGCTTACTATGATATCTGATTTCTCTGATAAGGTTGGAAATATTTTAAAAGAATTTCTTGAAATTTCACTGCTTTATTAAGCAGCCTTCATTGTAGTATTCCAAATACACAAGGTCTATAGAACCATGTATTGTAAAGTCCCCGTAAAAAATTCCATGAATAAGAATTGCAGGTATTTGAAGAGAAACAAAAATGTAAATTTCTTTTGTATGTGTAAACAGTGTGACTCAACTATTCCAGACAGTAATACTAGAAAAAATTTCTAATAATAGTACCTTGGCATATTTTTATCATTTCATTCTGTTTGATATTCTGTCAATAATGAGAAATTGTTTATAAATAACACTTACCCTCCGCTAACCACGCCTCTTGCATCTGGCTTAAGTCCTGGAACAGCTCTAAATTAATGAAGAAACCACAAATACAATTCCATGACAAATCTAATCCACCAAAATCTTTTCAATCAATTATTGAATAAAAGTTTTGGGAAGGATTCTTTCATCACCAAAACAGATAAATGATGTTTTCTTCTCTCTCACATTTCCTCAAAAAAAGAAAATTGTGAACATTGAATTGAATGCAACCTTGTTTAAAATTAGTGTATATTTATTTTTTTTTCTAGTTTTATTTATAATATCTCACAGTTTGTAATGAATAATTAACTTTTACTCTGAGTATCTAAAATTCTAATTACTATTATAATGATTCTTTTTTCTTGCAGAATAAGACATTTTTGTAAAAGTTTTCCATTGTTGGTTATAATTAGGTACATCTAATGTTTATTTCACATTTTTGTTTAATTACATAATACCATGTATATTATTTTTTTTTCTTTCATAACTTAAAACATCTTCTAATTTTAGAAATCAATAATCACTAGAACAGAGTGGTTTATTATACAAGATTTTCTGTAACATTTTACCTAATGTTTAAGTCAAATTAAAAGTTTTTTCTCAATATAATTTTAATTAAAAGAATTAATCATCAAAAATGAAATTTAGATAAAGTTGTATATTTGAATCTTGGATAAAAAAACCATTTGTCTATCCATAAATTCTTCACATTATGATAACAGTATATATAATCAAATACCTTGAATGAAAAAATGAAAAAAAAAGGCTAAAAGCAAAAATCATTTTATTGACTAAATATATTGAATCTGAAGCATTCTCAATGTTTCTCATAAATTTTCTGATATCTCTGTCTGCCTGCTTTAAAGTATAAACTCTCTCTCGATATATATATATTGAATATATCTCGGAATCTATTCCATTCAATGTAGTACATCATGTGCTGCTATCGACCCGAGATTTTAGTGTTTGTTATGCAGTACCGATCATGGAGTCTCAGACATGCAATGGAATGTGTACAACATTACCATAGATTTGTATGTCTTGGCCTTGTCCTACAGTGGAAAACTGTCACAGTATGTATACTGTCAAGATTGTCACCCAGGGGCAACAGAATTGAAGATGGAAGAGGCTGAGGGGTATCATGAGAAAAGAGAAAATTCTTTACTTATCAGCATTAGGTCTGTAATAATGCAGTTACCGGATCAGTTATATAGAAATAGATGCTGGCGTAAATTTCAAATCAATTTACTTGCAATTTTTCAAAACATGTAATTTAAAAATTACCAAAAAAAATGCATGTTTTTTCTATTACATGTTATAAGTAATAATTACATTGTAATTCCTCATCTATTCAAAATAAACACGTTGAATTTCAGAAATTAAATGGGTTGGAACACATATGTTTATGAAAAATTAACTATATACCTTACTTTGGATAGAAGGTATTATTTTCAAAATATTTTCTAAATAAAATATGCTTTACTTTGGTTTTTAATGCCAGGTTATACTTAATTAGTGTTCTCAATGATTTCATCTTTCTGATACAACTTCATATAAAAACTAATTTTGTATTGTGCCATTAGTCTAACCCATTAAAATTTGAACAGTTGCAATTGAGACCCTCCAAGTACTATAGAAAAGTTATTTGTATATATAATGTATTTAGCAAACCTAAGCCCATCAGTTAACATCATTTATCATTTTGACTTCAGAATGTTCTTTTGACTTATCAAAGCTGGGATATGTTTGTAAATAAGATTGTCGCAAACACCAAAAATAAGGATAATTCTCACTGGAATATTCCAAAAATCTTCTTTATCTAAACAGATGGATATTTCTGTCCCAAATTATTTGACATCACAATCTTAGAACATTTATCACATCTGGGTTTAATGCCTTATTATGTTAGACTGAAAATACTTAGATAAATGCAATTTTAGACATTAGGGTCTTTGGACATTTACCTTATCCAAATTTGATGGATCATTATGACAGATTTAGAACTGCCAAGAAAAAAATGTCAAACTTTTTTATGACATTAGAATCTTGGAACAAAGAAGGTTTACTATGTATCTTGAAGATTTTATGAATAATAACAAATAAAACAAAAACAATATTTGTAAGCAGAACTCTTGAGCATTTACAAAATTGACCAGGAAATTAAGACCTGAAATGGATAGCAAACTGGATTAATGTGGCCATTTATTAACAGATAAAATCTTAAGTCAGCTTGAAAATCAACCATGTAAGTTCTGCAGGTTTCATTTGAATTGTGTTAGACTTGGGACTGTGTATTAACTGGAACGGGGGTGGTTATTGCTTTGAGTTGACTCAAATGATATTCGAATACTTAATGGACAAACTGATTATAAAAGCATAAAAATATATTACAGGAAAATGACAAATGTAGAACATATTTACTAAATTTATTTATTCTTTTAAAACTATTAAATCTAAATTGAAAGTACAAAATTATTTCATCAGTTTTCTAAACTAAGATAATTACCAAAACCTCATGAATGGTATTCAAAAAATAGTTCAGGTTTCTTTGCTTTAAAGTGAAATATATTTTACTCTTAATATCAAATGCTTTCTCTTATCTGAAGAAAAGGACTGACAAGGTAAATGTGATTTTTTGTTTGTGATTTCTAGTATTGAATTCAAGTTTATTATAAATTTATTTGTACAATTAATGAGTTTAATATCTTAACTGCAGCCAAGTTTTTATTTGAAATATATCTACATATGCAAAACCGTTTCTGATGAATAGTCTGCGACTGTGCAGTGCAAATTTGTATTACATCTTCAATTCATTAATTGAAAGATACGTTTAAACTGAGATTTATATCGTGATTTCCACTGATCCTTTTAGATACTGCAGAGCAACTGCCGTTCTCTTGTTTGTTCTTTTATTGACTCAGAGTTACGCCGTTATCTGTATTGAACGACTTGACTTGCAACGCAATAATATATCTTAAACTACATTCTCTGAAAGATACCTAAGCTATTGAGATTGCAGAATCTTGACAAAAAACGTTAATTTTTGATGACAAAATACGAAATCTTGAGGAAGTCGACTTTCAGTAACAACGATAATGTTTGTTTTCTCTCTTCTTTCATTTGTCTCATTCCCCTGCTGTCTGAACCGAATAATCGAGCAGTGCGGACATCTATTGCGGAATTCTTGGACACTTACCTTCGGACACCTGGACCAATTCCGTGGTCTTGACTTGAAGTTTTCCACTTTGTATATTTTCTTCTTTATCTATTTTCTGGTGTCCTTCTTGCTGTGAAAAGAAGAAAACACTATTAGCAAACAAATAGAAGTTTCACAATTAATCGTTCCCGCCTACTTGATTGTTCAAGCTCGTTAAAGATAAAAGTTAGACTTATTTATTTTTCTTCATCTCGGTTGATGAGATACTTGACACGAGTATTTTCCATAATTCTAACAAATGGTTTTAATTTTCGATTTCTGAGTATGGATCAAACTTGCTTTCAACGTCTTCAACTTTTGAAGAAAAAATAAACTTTCAAAATTATAGATCTCAATACCGCGAAAAATGAATCGCAAAGTTTATTATCAGCGATTGGAAATATTAGTTTTTATACGTTCCAAACTACTAAGAAATTTAAACTATTATTCTTTCACATTTGTACATGATATAAATATTACAAATTGTCCACAATCAATTCCGTTTATTTCTAGATTTTCTTTGTCTAAATTGAATTCTAAAGTATACTTAGAATTCACGATTTTGTATAATTTATGTTCTGTCCAATACTCGAAAAACTCAATTTGTCGTTGAAATTTTCTCTCGATATAAAGTTCAATTGAAAAATCTATCAAGGTTACTAGAACTAAACTATATTTGAACACGGGAAAAGTGAAGTTGTTGATTTGGTACAACACTAACTTGAGAGTTCTAAATAATCTCTGTAAAAAAAAACTTCCTTTTTCGCCAAATTTGTTTACAGTTTCCTTAACTATTTGCAATCAAATGTTTATAAAAGTATACTTTTTGTAATCATTGAAAAGTGGAAACTTTTTCAAAAGTTCGTAAGAATTATTCCATACATACGTGCTTTTTAAGATCGCTGCTGTTCGAAAGAGCGCCCTTTCTTTGTACAACTCTTGTGGATAAGACAAAGAAATATTTTTAATGAGTAATATTTCCTCCAATGACGTATACTACTTTCCATGACGTAATCGAGTCGAATGCCAAGAAATAATGTGTCAATCAAAACGTGGAATATCACTAGCCCCGCCTTCTAAGTGGATCATTAGTGTTTTCCATCGGATGCAGAACAAAAAATGGTTCAAATAAGATTTTTTTATCTGACAGTTTTAATAATTCAAATAAAATCCAACATTCATACAAGAGCAAACTCGCTTACATCAAATAGGTCAGTTTAAAGGAACCGCCATTTTTCAAATTTTCCTCTTTTTCACACTTGCCACAAGGAATAAAACCGCTCCAATAGGCCAACCATTCACTGTATTACGATTTTACCTCAATATAAGTATACTTTGTCATAGGGAATTTGAACATATATGTCGAAGCGAAAGTATTTTTACCAATAAAGTCATCTGCGTTGAAGTGAAGAATATGTATATTGCTATTTCTATACGTCATGGGATTACATACTTGTACCGTTTCTTTGCTTATGGTGTCTAAAGGTAAGTAAGTTTTTGCTCTCGAATTTTTAGGCATTGTACCACTGCTTAGACGACAATACCTAGATGGTATCTTACCTTGACAGTTCCTTTGGAGAATTTCATCTCAGACCGAAATTTTATATTGAGATTCAGTTCTTTGCGCTATGTCAGAGACCCATCCTCAAGAAAAATGGGGAACTGATAGTTCATAATGTATAAAGAACACACACCATGGCACCATGGTTTTATTGAAAGTTTCAAATTTTCGAACGTTCACTTTGTTTTTTTCCTTTGTCGTCGTACGTTTTGTGGATAATCGCTCCCAGTATTCAATATTTCAAATGCCTACGACTTCGATCTTCGCACAATATAGCAGCATCTCAAGGCGAAGTCAATTCAATTGTAAATTAATACAATATCGATTATATCATGATATAAATACCAATCAGATGGGAATTAGCCATGTACTTCATACATATATATACAGCTGCAATGACTGCCACTAATTTGAACGGATTTTCAAAACTTGTCTCTGTTGTATGCGATGAATCTTGTCTAGAGTTGTGTATGTCTGCTATCAAAATTCTACACCTCCAATTATATCTTGATCACATATGTAAAATTATTACCCTATACCCCCGTCGTTCTAAATTCCCCGGTCTACTTTTCAATATTTTAAATACAATGTGCTCAAAAATCTTAATCAATATATTGGGCATCGCCCGATTAAACGAGTTTATTGAAAAATAAAATGTGTCTCACAGTAAAGATTTTTGTGCCTTTTACCGATATTGTTTTGCTACAATAGTTATTTAATGTCTCCTTCAATAATTTTTGATATTACTAGTTATAACTCAGCTAGGAACACTAAGACGGGTCCGACATACATAACTTAACCATTATCATTTAAACCGAGACAGATAAACGGAATGACAATGAATCTTTTAATAATTCTAACGAAATAAAACCCACATTCAAATAAATTGATAGCTGTTGAATCGATGTCAAATCCTTAATCAACGTTAAAACTAATTTATGTTAAAATACGGAGGTTTGAAAGAAGCGATATGTGCGTTGGAACTATACATTTGCAGGCGTAAGAAACCAAACTGCCTTTGGTGAAATGTCGAATACATGAATTGGTCATGCATTTGAGTAATGCATTAATAACTAACACAGAAAATCGAAAATTTGAATATATATACTTTTAAAACTTCAATGTAATTGATAGCCTCGTCAGACGTGATCCCAAAATTAGGTAATTGGAAAGCACTATTCATTTCATGACTGTGGTTTTTTCTTAATACCATCTCTAGCGTATCCCGAAATATCTTACCATAAAAAGTCTAAAATATACAAAAACGTATAGTGTAGATATGAATTACATGTAAAGTATGAAGCAGACCTTTATTTTGTGGGATGAATACCACAAGCTCTTGTCGTTAGAAATATACTTATGTTATGATGCATATCGACACTGCTATATCTAATTCATAATTTGAATTAAAAAGTGGTATGCACTTGTGTCATTATACAATCTTCCTATTGGCCAAAAACAATAAAACAACTATGTAGTTTTTCATTACATCTTTTTTTTATTTTCCATTGAAAAGGACAGTACTGCATAATTGTATTATATTTTACAAAACTATTGAGAGCACATGTAAAGATACAACTTTTCAGTACATTTTGATATAAAGCAACTAAAGTAACAAACAAAAATAAAAAAAAAAACAATTTGTTCACATATTCCGTATTTTGAACACCTCCTTCCCCCTCCCCCCTCTCACCCCCCGAAAAATAATACTAATGTATATATTTACATATATATATATATTACTTACTAGATTCTATATCTATAAATGTATTCATCTGTGTCACGTCAAATTTCAATTTTGTTCTTTTTCTGATCGATAAACATCCGTTTGACATGTATATTACCGGATATGCGTTGTCGATATCATGTTGACGAGTACCAACGTTTCATATAAATAATAAATCCATTGTGAGTCCGATAAAATCAGAACCGTTTCCAAGCCAAAATAAATGTAATATCGATGAACTTCTGAAGCATATGTGATAGAGTCGCAGCGCCCAGCCTGCAGAAATATGGTGCATGTCAAATGAGTCCTCTACCCATAATTCAAGAGTGCACGTGCAGTCACCCGCCGAGACCTCCCATATTGAACGAATGACCCGCATAGTGTACTTCATCATTATGATCCGAGCATGTTTATTCTTTTCGAAACATTCTGGAATAGTTTCCTCTTCTAGGGATTCTTTCAAGACACGCTTTTCTAACTTTTGATCAATAAACGAGCAGATTAACGAAGCAAAAATATTGAATGTTTGACATTGATATAAAATGTTTATTTAAAGATTCTGATCAGAACATTTCCAAAGCTCGCATTAGTCGATCTCCTGTAACTTCTTGAAGTCTTACTTTTAATGACAACAATAATGAGTTTGTCGAAACCTACTAAATATTCAAGTTTTGATAGGTAAACGAACCTAGTTTGCAGAATGCGGGCATCCGAATTCTATTCATTTGCCGACTTACTGTGTGAAATATCTTTGTGTCATCATTACTTAATATTGTATTAGGCAGATGCTATGGCAACTAAACTTATTTGCGGAAATTGTATCAGAGGGAAAAAAAGAAAAGAAAACGAGACACTTCAATAAAGCAATTAACTCACGAAAGTTGTCTATGTATAAGCCATGTTCGGTGTCCGTTTTGTTTTTGATAAAAAATGTTGACGAAAAAATAAACTGTGTCAATTTCCTTTCTTGTGAAAAAGATTTGACATGAAACATATTCTCCAAGAAACACCGTTGTAATAAAAAAGAAAAAAATACTTATAAATCTCATGTATCATCTTCCGACATATTACTGCATGTGACGTCATAGCGGTCGTCTAGTTGTGAGTTTTCAGAAGATAATTGTTCTCCAATAGCTTTCCTGTGACGTTGATCCTATTTTGGTTGAGCACACCAGATTAAATAAAGACCTGATGTACGTACTCCGACGTTACAACAAGGTGAAGAATCAGTAACAGCAGAGGTCAAGATACCAAAAATAAAATGTTACAACAGACCATAAGTATATGTAGATATGTAGTTGTTTGCATATGCGTGTTGTTAAGGGATGCCCCATCATTGTGACTTCATGTGTCATTTCAAGTCAAGCAGACGTCATTATTTCTTAGAATCTTTACAACAAAACCTCCAATTATTGCCATCGCTAAAACACGCAAATCAACCAATGAATTTCTGTTCGGAAGACATGTCCCCCTATTCTTTGTAAAATGTTAAAAACAAGCCAACAATGATGTCGTAGACATTTTGTCAACACCAAAAAATCAGTGCTCGTTTAGACAGGTGTCAAACATCTGAAATCCGCTTTATAATTTAATTTGAGCTTGACATGTTAATGGTTTGTAAAAAGTCCTTCAGAACTGTAAAAAGATCTGAACTGCTTCTAGTGGAAATCATTTACAAGAAATATGTCGGTTAATTGGTTTATACATATTACGCCACAACTCCTATGACGTCAAAATCTCAACTTTAGGCCTGAATATCACACAAAAATGTTTGGGTTATATTGTAATACGAGTTTTCTCTCTGATTGACAGGTCAACGATATTCGGGTCCACGTGTAGATATGAAATGTAATTGTTTACCGTATTCCATCTTAGAAAGACGTACAAATATTAACATTTTCAACCTCAGATGAGCTCGAATATTGCAATTTGAACTTAAACTATAACGGAACTGCCATCCAATGCCATCATGTGAAAGTTACCAATTGCAGAACGGAAGGTTTATGGGCTTATTTTATTAACAGGAAAAATGAGAATTATCGATTTGCATCATGCCATTTATTTTCGAACCAGATTCTGACAGAAACGAGGGTAGATACATTTATGAGACATATTTTACAACTTTAAGACACCTCCGAAACTACGTTGTGCAACTACGACACACATGCTACATGTGAGGTATTTGTTAGTAGCAGTTTATGCACAATCAGTGACACTTTTACCAAAGGAGATATCGCTTTCCAGTATCATATCACCCGAAAGTACAGAGTATACTCGATACGTTGACTATAAAATCAAGACTGATTTCGTTCACCATACCGGAAGAGAGATTTTGGCGTCGGTTGCTCAGAAACGGTTGACTTTAAAAGGTGGTTCAGTTGCTATTACGAAAAGACAGTGGGTTTAAAAGCGAATAGTACCATAATAACCGACCATTCTGCTGATTCTCAACATAGCCACGAACTTTCCGTATTTTTGACATTTGTTAGATTTATTCAGATTTTGATCAATTTAAATTGTAAGACCAACATAATTGATATGTAATGTACATTTAACACTATAATAAGAGTTGAAGTGATAGGTGGCGCTATTTTGATCTTCGTTATTCATTTGAGTGTCTTTTGTATTGAAAGGTATGATATGATTCCTTTGTGTATCTTTTCGTACAATCTTTTTGATCTTCGTTAAATATGAAATGGTTGTCATTTCGATCTTTGTTATTTAAGAAGGTTGAGCAAACTTCAATTTCGTGGCCTAGGTGGTTTTGGTTTAAGTGACTTCGGTAGATAGTGCTATTGACCCTTTTTCGGGGTTTTTATCGTTTAATTCGCTGCGAGATTACAGTACTAAAAATGGGAATATGCGGGATTTTTTTTACGTATATGGATGAACTTGAACAAAGTCGAATGGTTGAATGGTCGAATGGTTGAAGCGTCCCGGGAGTGTCTCGGGATCGACTTCCGGTGTGGCCGTTGCAGTGTATGTATTCTCTATATACCTGTTTAGGACCAGTGGTTAATTATTTCTAATCCTGTGTCTTACCTGTGTAGCTGCATTCCCATAATGCTGGTGTAACTTACCTCTGTAGGTGGCGCTGTTTCGATGTAAGGAACCTCTTGATCAGAGCCAGTCGTCGTGGTCATGGCACGTGAACAGATACCTTCCTCTTCATCAGCACGCGTTTAGCACTGTCAAGACAAAATTAAATAATTACAAGACGGCAGTTCGCGCTGAATGTAATGACAGTTTTCTCTGTCTCTAGAATAAGAAAGGTTTGGTGTTGTTTGGGAGTGTAACGAGGAAGGGGGTATTAAACAAGTTTAATTGTATAAACGATTGACTCCTTCAGGTTATCAATCAAATCGATGTTTTTATCGAGATCACTATGGCCTTGTGGTCTATTATTTGATACTTCATTCAAAATTAAGTTATGACAATGAATGTTTATATATTTTACTCACTTTATGGATTGATCAGGGCGGTATTGCGCCATGGATACGTTATAAATGAAATACATTACTTGGCAACAGAAATGAATTTCATTTTGTGTTCCTTATATATTTTTGCTTATCAAATGTTTTACTTGACCATGTTTGTAATCAAGCGATACTTCTTCAAAAATAGAAGTAATATTTTTTTTACTGGACTTCATTTCTTATTTAACCCGTGTTATCTGAATAATCCTTTCCTCCGGACCTGTCTTTTACGGACGGAAATGTCTTGTAATGTTTCGTTCCATTAAGACAAGTTAGTTACATATTCAAAATGATATTGTTCTTTAACGTTGCCATGCATTAACATAGATATAGGAATCATGTAGATATATCGATTGGTTAAAAAAACAATGCATTGCAAAAAGAAGTTATTGGAAATCTTTTATCTTTTTGTAATTATCAACAAAAAAATCTTTTCTGTGTTCAGAGAATGTAAATAAATTAATAAAAATGATTAACATTCAGAGCGTACTATAGTTACAACTACTTAAATAGACACGAAGTTAGATCTTGTCCATTTTTTCCACATATTTGTCAGCAAAGCCGCGGCCAGAGAGCCTTGGAAGCTATTAGGCCCAACACTAACGAGTCTATCTCTTTCGCCACCTCAAGGAGACATCTGTTCAAGGCCAGCGCCATTATAAATTTATCAATATTTCATGAGGTTTATTAATTACACCATGTTCTGTTAGAGCACCTGCTGCGATTTAGGTCGACCAGGAAAAATCCGACGATGTGACGAGGACGCAGTGATGTGATGCACATCTCTCTGGCTAAAACTGACCAACAGCGCGTCATGGTCATTCCTGTTTCGATAAGTTGGAAATCACAAAGAAACATTGATTGAACCTCCTAAGATTTTACACGTTATCAAATATAGTTGTGATTGTGAATTTATCATAAAAAATGCACCATAAGTATATGTGTCGTCGTTTGCTTTTCAAAACGAAAATATCCGAAAATGAAATTAGCATGAAATCACGATATGATATAACGATATATATAATATAATGTAGTATTAATACGGTCGATCGACGCATTCACGATTTAATGTTTACGCGATTAAAAATGCTTACTGAAAAATAAACATGGCCAAAGACAGAACCGGAAGTTGTCGAATAGCTCCCAGAATGCATTGCAGGCCTTGTTGAGACCAATGTGCAAATTAAAGAAACCTCAAAGACAACTGAGATCCCAGCTGTTGTGATCAGTGCAGAAAATCAATTTTATTTCCGTTAATTTCCCCTGAATTTGTACACGAGAAAATTCAGGCATTTGCATGGGCTCCTTTTAGTTTGAATTAGATAAATGTACTTTCTATTTTCGAATATGCAGTGCAGACTGGCAATTTTTTTTTTAAATGTTACCATATTACACATATATATTTTGAATTTAAACCAATCTTATTGAATGATAATTTACGAATGGATCGGACGCAAGTTTTCACAGCTTATCACTATCCTCACCATGATACAAATCAGTACATGATATATCTTATACAGTTTCAGAACTCTAAGAACAGAACAAGAAACAGAAAGTAGAAAAGGGAGACAGAAATCAAGAAAAAATGTTCGACAACAAGGCAGATGACACTATATATTGACCTGTTTTAGGCAAATATTTTACTATCAGCAATTAAGTTGTGAAAATGCTCAAAATAACTTCATTTGATATCATTTCATATCTAAAGAATTATCAGAATACAAGAGACAAGTTATATTTGTGTACCACATTAAGTGTCTAAACATTGTATTTCTTTGAACATTATATATCGGACTATGAAAAATGAAGTGTATAGCCTCCTTCGTATTATGCACATATTGACACGGAATAAATCCTGATTAAGATTATCAACATTAATACGCATTCGACAATGTATTATCTTCACATTTCTTTTTTCAAAATTAGAAACAACTTTCTCGCTTGTTATTTTATTTGGTTTAATATATTTTCTAAACTCGCATAGTGGTGGAATTTCTTCTATCTAGAGGCAAATTATTCAATAAATTATAGGTATTGTGTATGAAAGAAAACATAGTAAGACTAAGACGATAGTGAGAAATATGATATTCTTAAGCCACACGCAGACATATCAGACACTTGGGGGAGAAGAAGAGACGTAAGACAGTTTGGTGAATTTCCTGACCGGATATTACAAAAAAACACCGAGTTTTCTGTGTTTTCTTCGTTCAAGGTTTGCTTCATTTTTCATGTTAACGAGATTATCTTGTAAAGATGGACAAACCTGTTATAATTTTTCATACAATGTTTTCAATACAAAATGTTGTTTCTGTATTTTTTCATTCCTATCATCCCAAACCTCACAAGTATATTCTAGAAGAAGTCGAACATACCACTAGATATGATTTCTCTATTTTTTCCTCCTTAAATCATATTTAAAGATTCTAACAATTAATATATACTTTTCAGTTTTATTAAAAATATTATCAGTATGATAACTCAATTTGGCATCCCTACTAATATTAACAGCTAGATGCTTGCGAAAATCACATATCATAATCGTGTTGAGTCCTTATTAAACTTTGGTTCATCGGATAGTATGAAAAAAAGATCTCTCTAGGGTTCGTTTTTATGAGGATCAAAAACCATTATCCATTTATCAGACAAACGTTTTAACTGTTCTAAATCAAACATTTTTAATTGCTCCAGATCTGCTTATATTTTAGTAGAATATGCTAATGCAGTATCATCAGCGTACAAACGGGAGACTGATAAAAGTGTGTCTGAGATAGCATTAAAATATATGAGGAATAACAGTGGCCTTAAAACTGAGCTATGTTGAACACCAGGTTTTACAACTCGTACAGAAGAAATTACATTTTTCATAACAAATGATTGTTTCTTTTAAAGTAGGTAGTGTTAAAACCATTTAAACTTTCCCTTAATTCTATTTTTTCCATTTTCAAGGTAAACCCTTTGTGCCAAATTCCGTCGGAAGTCTTCGAAAAATCACAAAATTTAATCGCAGTATGATATTTATCTTTGAGTTCAGATACAATTTTATGGTATACTTCTATTAATTGATGAGTAATGAGTAGTTTGGAATAATTACAAATTGTGATTTACACAACAAGTTATGTTCAAAAAGAGGATTGTACACATGTTTATATGATACGCTCAAAAACCTTACCTATACAGGTAAGTAATGATATTGGTCTGTAGTTTCTGGAAAGTCGGGGTGGCCATTCTTACAAAGTGTTGAAACATTAGGATTCATATATTACATAAGGGATGGAAAACAAGCTTAGAGCTTTTTTTCAGTATTTTAAAAAAATAGTTGAGAAAAGAAAACAAATGATTAAGATCAGCTGATTTATATTACTTGTCTAGAGAAGTAGGTGTAAAATATTGAATGTGCGTTTGATACATAAATTAGATACGCCACCTAGTGGTGGAGTGATAGAAAAAAAAACACAATACATTTGTTATCGAACTTTCATACTTTGGTGTGTGTTGTTGTTGTTGTTGTTACAGTAAGTCAAATCATTGTACTGTTTATTCAATTTTTAATGCTTGAATCGTGTGCTCGGCAAGTAAAATTATGGATAACATGACAAATGAAAATGATGATATATTTTGTACAAAAATACTTTTTATCGCTTTATCCAATCCCTTACTTTCCAGGGATCATTTGTCACCAATCTGGATACTGACAAAACTGTAGCTAACCCTTTCCTTCCCTTTCTGTGATCCTCTTGTAAATCCAAACTTCACGCTTCATCACAGAATGAGATTTTTTCTACCCTCGTCCCCTTTTTCGCTCATACTTTTGCAGACAAACGAGTTCAGCAAAATTTCCTAACCCAAGGTCTGTTTGTATGTGTGCATTTACATGCACATTTATTTATACAGAGCTGGGAGTTGAGAAGCTGCGTCCCTTGTGCTATAACGCATAAGCTCTCTTTCACCAAACCTCGTGCCCCACTGCCACAGTACATCTAGGTTTAGTATTTCAAAGGACATCTCATGAATAAAGGCGTAACTGGTCAGATTAAGCAAACTGATTCAGATTTCTTTCCATCATTTGCTTGGCCACAAAACAAAATGATTTCGTTTTATAAAAAATTAATATGCCTTTATCGATGAAACAGCGGGATACTTCCATCATTTCCAATTCGCGCGCTCACGCGACTGGCACGCGGGCTAATGACAGAACCTGTCAATACCATTCTCGACCGGTCTGACAGGCTATTGTGTTTGCTGGTGTGCTAAGAAGGGTAATTTTGGGTTAAAACAACAAAATATTTTAACAGAATTCTGGAGCATACGTTTCTTCGCGAAACCACCACAATTACATAAGTAACAAGTTGTAAGATTCCAGCTGCTTTGACCTTCACAATCTTACACAGCTGAACCTCGTTATTTCGAAACATTCCGAAATATTAAGAACTTACCGGTATTTTACATAATAGCAGTTAGTGATGAAAAGAATTAAAAACGGCGAAAATGTTCAGTTTACAACAATTATGGCTGACCAATCTAATAACTCTTGTTGGCCCGGATTGAAGAGCACGAGGGATCGGTCTTACTTACTGTGGGCCGGGGGAAGGTGGAGAGGAAAGGGGAGGGGGAGGGGGCGTAGACGAGCAGATGCATTGACCTCCTGACCTTTCACCTCCGATCGGCAA